TAGAGACCTAAAAGTGAAATGTAATACCATAAAATCACTAGACAATAATGTAAAAAAAAAAACTAAATGACCATGAATATGGCGATGCCTTTTTATACACCAACACCTAAAATGTGATCCATGAAAGAAATGACAAGCTGAACTTCATTAACATTAAAAACTTCTACTCTGTTAAGGACAATATGGAGAGAATAAAACAAGACACATTGGGAGAAACTATTTGCAAGAGAATACATCTAATAAGGAACTCTTATCCAAAATATACAATTAAGGCTTAAAACTAAGATAAAAAACAATTAATATGACCCCAAAGACCCTAACAGACAGCTCACCAAAGAAAATATAGATATGGCAAATAATATATGAAAAGATACCACACATCATATGTCATCAGGGGAATGAAAATTAAAACAAACAACACCTATTAGAATGGCCAAAATATGAAACAATGACAACGCCAAGGGCTAGTGAGGATGTGATACAACAGGAACTCCCATTCATTGCTGGTAGGAATTATGGTGCAAACTCTTTGGAAGACAATTTGGTACTTTCTCACAAAACTAAACACTCTCTTACTGTATACTGCAGTAATCATATTCTTGGTATTTACCCAAAGGAGTTAAATATGCATGTCTACACAGATGCCTTTATACAGATGTATGTAAAAGCTTTATTCATAATTGCCAAACCTGGGAAGCACCAGACTGTCCTTCAGCAGGTGAGTAGATGAATGAACTGTGGTATATTCAGACAATGGAATATTACTCAGTGCTGAAAGAAATGAGTGTAAAGCCACAAAAAGGCATGGAAGTATCTTAAAAGCATATTACTAAGTGAGAAAAGTAGACCTGAAAAAACTACATACTATATGATCCCAACTATATGAAAAGCATAATAGAAAAGGCAGAACTGTGGAGACAGCGAAAAGACCTGCAATTGTCAGGAGGAGATGGGCTTTGGAGAGATGAGTAGGCAGAGCACAGAAGGTTTGAGAGTAAGTGAAGATACTCTGTATGACTTCATAGTGGTGGATATCTGCCATTACGCATTTGTTCAAACCCATAGAGTGTGTAAAACCAAGAGTGAACCCTAATGTAAATATAGACTTTGGATGACTGCATGTGTCAAATCACATTCATTGATTAGAATAAATTTACCATGTGGATAGGGGCTATTGATAATGGAGGAGTCTTTCCATGTGTGGGAGCAGTTGTTAGATGAGAAATCTCTGTACCTTTTTAATATTTTGTTGGAAACCTAAAAGTGCTGTACAGAATAAAGTGTTGAAAATATTTTTAAAAGCCCTGGCCAATGTGGCTCAGGTGGTTTGAGTGCCATCCCATAACTGAAAGGTAGATTTGATGTTTCTCTCTCCCCCTTCCTCTGTCTTTAAAAGCAATGAAACAATGACCACAGGTGAGAATAAAAATTTTAAAAAATACTTCTAAAAGGTCCTGGCTAGTGTAGTTCTGTGGATAGAGCATGGGCCTGTGAACCAAAGGGTTGTTGCTTCTATTCTCAGTCAGGGCACGTGCCTGGGTTTTGGGCCAGGTCCCCAGTAGGAGGGGAGAGTGAGAGGCAACCATACATTGATGTTTCTCTCCTTCTCTTTCTTCTTCTTTCTCCCTCTCTCTAAAAATAAATAAATAAAATCTTAAAAAGATAGTTTTAAAAGTTAGGCTGATTTTTTCTCCCCCCAGTGTATTATGCCAGGTAGATCCTCCTATTTACCTTTATGTTGGTGAAGAAAATAGGAGGACACCCATGAATCTCTCCCATTTCATAAAGGACTGTCACTTTCTGGAATAGAAGGTCTGTCCAGAAAAAGTCCAAACATCATTAATATAAGGAGAATTGTTTGTGCAACATCCATGCAACCTGGCAGACAAGGAAAGTGGACTGGAATGAGCATGTGTGAACAATGATGACTTCACTGCACTAGTCAGTGGGGGCAGTAGACCTCGTTTGATTGAGCATGTGTACTGTGTGGACATCACATTCAAAATGACTGAGCAAATAGAGCAACAAATGTGCATCAAATTTTTGCATTAAAAACAAACTCCCAGTAACCAGAGGCGGGAAGGGAAATAATAGGGAGAAAGAAGGGAAACGGTCCTCAAAGAGCATGTATAAAGGACCCATGGACAAAGCCAAAGGTGGGAAGGATGAAGGGTGGGAAGTGGAGATGGGTAGGGCAGAAGAAAGCTGTGGTGGGAAAATGGAGAGAACTATATTCAAACATTAATTAAAAAATTTGCATTAAGCTTGAATATTCCGCTGCGGAAAGTATTGGGATGATTCAGAAGGCCGCACATATGGGCAATTGGCAGTCAGCAGCTTCATCACAACAGCATGCTACCTCATGCGTCAAATTTTGTGCAGAATTTTTTGGCAAAACATCAGATCGCCCAGGTGACTCAGCCAACATGCAGCCCAGATTTGGTGCCCTGTGACTTCTGGCTTTTCCCAAAACTAAAATCACCTTTTGAAAGGGAAGAGATTTCAGACTGTCGCTGAGGTTCAAGAAAAATAGAGCAGCTGATAGCATTGGGAGAACTGTGTGAGGTCTCAAGGTGCCTACTTTAAAGGGGACTGAGGCATCATTGTCCAATGTACAATGTTTCTTGTATCTTGTATATTCTTCAGTAAACATCTCTATTTTTCATAGTGCATGGATGGATACTTTCTGGACAAATCTCATATAGTTCATTTAAGTTTATTTGCCTCCTTAGTGTTATGATGTTATTTTTAAAAGCATATATGATTTGTAGCTTATCCAGCTTATTTAATTGTTAGGGTAAGAATAATGGTCTTTGTAACTTTTTATATCTGTACCAGAAGTACTGTTTATAAACACTAAAACACAGCAAATATTGTACTTATCCACAGATATACAATTTCTCTTGCTTTTCATATATTTATAAAGAATCAAGATTTTACCAGATAAAGTTTTCTTTCTGAGGAGAATTCCTTTATATTTTCTTATAGTACCATTCTACTTGTAATGAATTTTTCAGTTTGTTTCTCTCAGGTATCCTTATTTTACTTTTATCTTTTATGAATGTATAAAACCATACCCATGTTGACAGGCTTTCCTTTCTCTTGAAGTTCTATGGAGGTATTTTTTATTGTCTTTCGTCTTGCCTCACTTCCAAAGGAAGTCAGTTAGAAGTCAGGCATTATTTTTATTTTGTTCACTTATCATGTTATAGTGTGTCTTATTTATGTGACTGCTTTTACATTTATTTTTTTTTCTTTTTCTTTGGTTATCTTCAATATAATTATAATGTGTGTTGCTATGTTTTTTTCTTATTTTGAACTTAGGTTAATGGTTTGCTGGGGCATTTTATCACCAATTTGAAAAAATGCCATTATTTTTCAAATAAATTTTTACCTTACAACCTTCTTCTTATATTGCAGCTTTATGTATGTTTGACTTCTTCATATTTTTTCCACAGGTCACTGAGTCTTTGTTCAAATTTATTTCCATCTTTTGCCTTTTTAATCAGTGTTTCCTAATGGTTAGTATTTATTCCCCTGTTTCCACCTGGAGATTACTGGAGCTCTGGTTACTCTCCTTTCTGATTCTCTGCCTCATACATTCAAGCTACTCTACTCTGCACTCCCATCTCTTGTCTCTTCAATAAACAAGACTGTCAATAAATAAGACTGTCAAATAAGACCTTGCTTGCCCTGTTATGCTGTGGATTAAAAGGTGTCCTCAGAAGCAATGATAAGGTTCATTTTTTAAATTCACTTTTCTCAAGGATCACGGTTCTGTGCTTCCTTTTTTCTGATGTCTGAAACCTGTAGTTTGATGTCTTTTTGTATTTTTTTGCCACTTACTTTGGAAAAACTATGTTAGTACTAGTCATTCCATCATGAACAGAGGGTACAGCTCCATTTCATTTGCCAAATGGCAATTCTTATTCATTTAAACCACATTTAATATGGCATAAAATGGGTGTAAAGTAAATTGAACCTATAAGAATATGCTTTATTTACAAAAGTAGGCTCATTATTTCTAGAATAACTCTATATTTCTTTTTTATCCAATTAAAATTGAATGATTTATCCAGCTACTTTTCCTTTTGGCATTTTAAACTAAATGTAACTTATATGAAGTTTTAATCTTATGGGTTAGTATTTTTATTTTTGAGCATTGCAAATAAAATAGAACTGGAAAATGAAAGTGTCAGTTTTTTCAAATTAAATTTGGATAACTATAAATACATTAAGATTTTAAGAAAGAGAAAATTTAACTCATCGTTGAGTCCAAAAAGATATATGTTAACACTGATAACTATTTTCTATAAATTATCTTCAAAAATCCATGTTTATATCAAATAAAATTTTTATTGCTCAGAATTTGTAGTAAATTTCAGCATTATTTTTGAGAATATGATTCTATATTAATGTTAGGATGTGAAGGTTGTACTACGTTCAAGAAAATTTGTAACAATGAATAAAAATGTAATAAAAAATTAATTACTTTCAAATATAATGCCACAGGTGTAACAATTTCAAATATTGTCTCTCAGGTACTATTCAGGCTAGTAAGTTGAAAATAGTTGCACATCTTTAAATATATCTTTAAACTTTTGAATTTATGTTTTGGGCTTATGAGAAGTTTTCCAGAACTCTAGCACTCCATTTTGGGCTAAATATCTCTTTTTTTGTGCACCTATGGAGTTCCCCGGCCATATTTCAAAAATAGCACTGAATTCACAGAACTACAATAATCTATTGGCTACTTTTCCATGTTTGATTTTAAACCCTACAAAGCCATGAATGGTATATTTTGCATCATAGTATCCACTATACCCTCTAATCCAAAGTAGATATTCTATACTTGTTAAATAAACAAATGAATAAATTGCTTCTGTATTTCAATTTGAATTTAAATAGGCTATTTTGCGAGGAGCATGAACTTTGGTCAAATGACTGAATATTAACTACATTTTGTGTCTTTTCTTACAGGCTCTTAAATCTGATCTACAATGGAAAAATTCCTCTTTTATCTGTTTTTCATTGGCATAGCAGTGAGAGCTCAGATCTGTCCAAAGCGTTGTGTCTGTCAGATTTTGTCTCCTAATCTTGCAACCCTTTGTGCCAAGAAAGGGCTTTTATTTGTTCCTCCAAACATTGACAGAAGAACTGTGGAACTGCGGTTGGCAGACAATTTTGTTACAAATATCAAAAGGAAAGATTTTGCCAACATGACCAGCTTGGTGGACCTGACTCTGTCCAGGAATACAATAAGTTTTATTACACCTCATGCTTTTGCCGACTTACGAAATTTGAGGGCATTGCATTTGAACAGCAACAGATTGACTAAAATTACAAATGATATGTTCAGTGGGCTTTCCAACCTCCATCATTTGATATTGAACAATAATCAGCTGACTTTAATTTCATCTACAGCGTTTGATGATGTCTTTGCCCTTGAGGAGCTGGACCTGTCCTATAATAATTTAGAAACAATCCCTTGGGATGCTGTGGAGAAGATGGTTAGCTTGCACACCCTTAGTCTGGACCACAATATGATCGACAATATTCCTAAGGGGACTTTCTCCCACTTGCACAAGATGACTCGGCTAGATGTAACATCCAATAAATTGCAGAAGCTGCCACCTGACCCTCTCTTTCAGCGAGCTCAGGTACTAGTGACCTCAGGAATTATAAACCCATCTACTTTTGCATTAAGTTTTGGTGGAAACCCTTTGCATTGCAATTGTGAATTGTTGTGGTTGAGACGTCTGTCCAGAGAAGATGACCTGGAGACCTGTGCTTCTCCAGCACTTTTAACTGGTCGCTATTTTTGGTCAATTCCTGAGGAAGAGTTTTTGTGTGAGCCTCCTCTCATTACTCGTCATACCCATGAGATGAGAGTCCTGGAGGGTCAAAGGGCAACCCTGAGGTGCAAAGCCAGGGGAGACCCTGAACCTGCAATTCACTGGATTTCTCCGGAAGGGAAGCTGATTTCAAATGCAACAAGATCTCTGGTGTATGATAATGGAACACTTGACATTGTTATAACAACTGTGAAGGATACAGGTGCTTTTACCTGCATTGCTTCCAATCCTGCAGGGGAAGCAACACAAACAGTGGATCTTCACATAATTAAGCTCCCTCACTTGCTAAACAGTACAAACCACATCCACGAGCCCGATCCTGGTTCTTCAGATATCTCAACTTCTACGAAGTCAGGCTCTAATGCAAGCAGTAGTAATGGTGATACTAAAATGAGTCAAGATAAGATTGTGGTGGCAGAAGCAACATCATCTACGGCATTACTTAAATTTAATTTTCAAAGAAATATCCCTGGAATACGTATGTTTCAAATCCAGTACAATGGTACTTATGACGACACCCTTGTTTACAGGTAAGAAAAATTAAGCAAATCTCTAAACTTACCATGTCTTGAAGTGTAGGGCATGTTAAGGCACTTTGATAATATTTCAGTGCAGCGCTCCTTTGTATTATGGTTATGGTATTCCATGTTTTAAGTGTATAATGTAAGCGTTGTGAAAGATGAATACATGTGGGGAACTATTTTGAATAGTGTTATTTTTAGAGTTTAAATTTATATTTAATGTTATGCTTACTCTCCCCCCACCCATCCAAGAGATGTGACTATCAGAGAACAAGATTAATTTATTTTAAAAATTCAAAAACATACCAGAACTTACGCATCCATATGAGTGTTCTTTCCTTCAAGGAAGTCATGTTGGGAGGCTATACCATTATCCCAATGATGCTGCCATTGCTCAAAATACTTTTGGAATTATCTTTAGAACCTTCGTCATACTATTTTGAATATCCTCAGTGGTGGCAAATCATCGTCTTTTGAGGGTGAATTTGAATTTTGGAAACAAGCAAAAGCCATTTGGAGCCAAGTCTTGTGAATAAGGTGGGTGATCAAGATGGGTATTACCATTTTTGGCCAAAGATATGATGTAACTATAAAATAATGAGACTGATATTTTGAGTGATTGACTTCTGTGCATGTGTATTGTCTCATATACACTGGTTCTTAAGGCAGTTCCAAAGGGAGACTTTATAAATATTTTGAGCAGTGAGAGTATCACTGGAGTTAAGTATGTGATCTCCATAAAGACACTGATAGAGAGAATTTACATCTGACTAAAGAATTTCTGGTATGTTTTTCTAAAGTTCAGCCTCATTGATTTATAGTCACATCTTGTCCAATTTTAATTGGAACTATGCCTTTCCACCCCTCCATATAATTTTGTTGATGATAGATTTTTATTAATCCTAGGGAGCAATGCAAAATCATGGCTTTGAAATATATATATATGTCTTTTCTAAAAACTCAGTTCTTTCATACCTATGAGTTGAAGATAATTTTATTTTCACTCATGTGTAGAAATGAGATAAATTTTGAATGTGAACCTGAGCTGGTAAAAAAAGAAAAAAAAACACTGACCCAGCTAGCCATGTGATCAATCCAGGGCAAGGTTCTACCTGGCTGAGTTTTAATTTCCTCATCTTTAAAAGGAAGCGATTAAAATAGATGGTCTCTAATATCTCCCTTATTACTAAAAATATGGGATGTAGACTGTGATTCATGTATATCAGCATAAAGTAGTCTCGGTCTTGTCATACTTGTCTCTTCACCTGGGCAATGGGTTATTTAACACACTGTGAAAGACACGCATCCACCTCCTGCTCCTCACCTTCCTGTAGCTACTACACTTTCTACATATTTTAAACACTTATTCTGTGAAATAGGTTAGTTTCCATTTTCTAAATGCTAAGACATTAATTAATCCATAACAAGTAAATTCTACATAACTTTGATGAAATGGCTTGAATTCCAGATCCTAATGTCTGTCATGTATAACATTTTGATAATGCTTATCTCATGCAGTCACTGTAGAAATTAAATTATAATGTTTATGCAATGCTTAGTAATGCCTGGCATTTATCATCACTCAGTCAATGGTAGCCATCTCAATCTCAAATACATACTCTGACTTAAGAGCTTCCGGGTGCTTTTAGATGGCATTGTTTAGGTTATATAACATATTAGCATTGGCCACGTTTTTTTAAAACTCTCTTTCAGGATAAAAACAGAGTATCAAGCCTTTTTTCCACAATAGATTTTAGTTTAGGTCATAGTTTAAGTTGCTACTGAAAAAAAAGTTAGTAGAAAAAATACTCTTCCACAGAAGGCTTTTGTGATATAATAGATTCAGAGATATTTCTAAACTCATCAAATGTTAGGAACTGTTTTGAAAGTGAATCTGTCATCCCTCAGTGGGGAGGATGAGGGATGCATGCTCTCTCTGGCCCACAGCCTTGCTCTGTCCATGTTTGCAGGATAATGTTACTCATGCGTTTTCATCAAACTCATTCAGATAAAAAAAATGTACAGGGAACCCAGTGTCGAAGGCTTAAGAGATGGCGGATATCAAGAAATAAAGTACTTCAATCTTAGCAATTTTCATAGTTTTTAAAGGTAGTTTTACTGGGTTCCATTCTGATTTCTGATGTGAATGTCACTGTTTTCCCTTCCTTTGAATTGGCTTTTAGTCACAGAGGTGTTGCAAGTGCTAAATGGATTTGTTTAGTTGTGAGATAATGTCATAGTCACACCTTTCAAAAGCAATATGTCATACACGATTTTTTAGAAGTGGCTTTTATTAGGAGCTCTGCTTTGCCAAGCAATGCAATTAATAAGCTTATCAAAGGCATGGTGCAGGCACCCTTAATATAATGCAGAATCCAGCGATAACTGTTAGCCATTTTTACTGGGGAAATGTATGATTCAAACACTTTCCCATATTTTATACTTGTTATTGGGCTTATCTGAATGAATACTGAAGTGAAACAGACGTCATAATGACTCTGTGTGTATGTACGTTTTGTTTCGTTTTGAATATTAACTCAATCTCATTGTCCCTCAGAATGATACCTCCTACGAGCAAAACTTTTCTTGTCAATAACCTGGCTGCTGGAACTATGTATGACTTGTGTGTCTTGGCAATATATGACGATGGCATCACTTCCCTCACTGCCACAAGAGTCGTGGGTTGCATCCAGTTTACTACAGAACAGGATTACGTGCGATGCCATTTCATGCAGTCCCAGTTCTTGGGAGGCACCATGATTATTATTATTGGTGGGATAATTGTAGCATCCGTGCTGGTTTTCATCATCATTCTCATGATCCGGTATAAGGTTTGTAATAATAACGGGCAGCACAAAGTCACCAAGGTCAGCAATGTCTACTCTCAAACTAATGGGGCTCAAATGCAAGGCTGCAGTGTAACGCTGCCCCAGTCCATGTCCAAACAAGCTGTGGGACATGAAGAGACTGCTCAGTGTTGTAAAGTTGCCAATGACAATGGGATGCAAGCTTCAGAAATTTGTTCGAGTCAGGACTCCTCTACCACTACCTCTGCTTTGCCTCCTACCTGGACTTCAAGCACGTCTGTGTCCCAGAAGCAGAAAAGAAAGACAGGCGCAAAGCCAAGTACCGAACCGCAGAGCGAAGCTGTCACAAATGTTGAGTCCCAAAACACTAACAGGAACAACTCAACTGCATTGCAGTTAGCTAGTCGACCTCCTGATTCTGTCACAGAGGGGCCCACATCTAAAAGAGCACATTCAAAGCCAAGTAAGTTTCTTACTTTGCCTGCTGAGAGACCCAGAGCAAGGCACAGGTACTCCCTGAATGGAGAATTAAAGCAATACTATTGTTCTATTAACTCACCGAGCCCATGTGGACTATTTTCTAAAAGAAGCCTGTCTATGAATGGGGTGTTAATTCAGTCCCACAGTTCTGATGGGCATAGTGGAAGAGCAACTCTTTCAAATTCTGAGCGTGTATTGGAGAGCACTATGTAACCTATTTTTTTAATGAAAAAAATTTTTTTTGAAAACTCATATAAGAAGTTGGAATTTGAAATTTCAGTCCATTTTCTCTGACGCATGGTCAGTAGAGCCAAGGTGTATAAACCTCTAGGATGCAGTTATTTATATATAAATTTAATACATGTACACATGTGTATATATATATGTAAAAGCATGACATGGTAAGAGTGCCTTTCCCAAAAAGGATTGGCTTCCAGGTTCTGCGGTAGCAGACCGCAAAATGAAAGTTGTCATAGCAGAAATAAAGTCTTGCATAAATAATGATATTTCTGCATCTGACAAAGGACCACCTATGAATCATTGGAACTTTTCAATGAATAGATTGCCTATTTCTTTCGATGACAGTGGTGTTTATTTTTAGACAAATAGTTTAGAGAACAAGTTTGTGTTGTTATGTTATTTAAAATAAAATATTGAATAAGTACATCCAGACAAGTGTTAAAATAAGTACCTTTCTAAACAATGTTTTTGGTTCTGGTGCCTTAATGGGTCTGTGATATTTCTCATTCAGGACACAGGTTTTTCAGTGGAAACAGAAGAAAATGCAGTTGATTTTGCATTTATAAAAAAATTAAGTTCAGTTTTAAGTTACAGGCCACAATTTGATATGCATCTACCTTGGCATATGAAGGTGTTTTTATTCATTTAGTACATATCTGCTGAATGAATATGTTTTATTTTTTCCTTAATGAGTGCATGTTAAAAAGGGGAGACAAAAATACAAGACTGCCTTTATCAAAGGGATGTTTATTTTTATCACTAAGTAATTTAACAAAGACTTCTAATGAATTTATTACATTTACAAGCAATATAAAGTCATCGCTCATTAACCAGGTACTGGTTTCATATGTCCCTTTTACACTGTAATTTTGAATTCACTGTTTCTTTTTTAGAGTAAATTTATTTATTATTTCAACTAAAACCAGTGGTAAAATTGAATTATAAATCATGAAGCTTTTGAAAAAAGAATTTTAACTGCAGTCAGGCAACGTTACTGCTCCTTGTTGAAGTGGCAATTTTGGATATTCACTGAACTCAAGGTCTACAGATACTTGTTTCTATCAACTTGTAGAAAATCTAACAGTATTGTACAGTAACCTGATGGTGTTTTATTAAAGATTGGTAAGTGAGGGTTAACATTAACTTTTCTGTTGTAGTTGCTGTTTTGTTTTGAGAATAAGGCTACTGCGGTGACCTTGTAGGAAAAAAAATAGCCATATATAATAAGCATTCATTAACTCAGACCACTTGAAATACCATTTAAAACACAGTTGAGGAATGTCAGTCATTAGTTCAGTTTCCTCCTGTTAGAGGCATATATAAAAATTTCAGTTAATTTTAACTTTATAGGTACTTATTACTCATGATGCATCATGATGTTGTTAAAAAGAGGGCAAGAGTAAAGCAATGAGAGATCACTTTCAATGCCAGCCTGGAACATCACTGTCTGATGGGCTTTTATTACCTTAGGTGTTTCCTAAGTGCCTGCTCTGCCCTGCTTCCCTTTTCTGAAGTTTGCCTTTCACATTTCTGAAGTCTTATTAGCATTCGTGGGTCAGGTACATAGTTCTTGTGAGGAATAAATGAGATCACATATGGTAGTATTTTATAAAGTAAAAAATATTATCAATGTATTGTCACCACTATTTCTGTAATAATGCTTTAACTCCAATGAAATATTTTTGTTTACTTTTAACTTCAAAAGTTGATACACCATTTCTTTATTTTCTTTTTTTTAATTGGTGTATATTGACATACAATATTATATTACTTTCAGGTGCATAACATAATGATTCAGTATTTGTATATATTGTGAAATTATCACCACCACAAATCTATCACCACACATAGTTGCTGAATTCTTTTTCTTGTAGTGAGTACACCTAAATTATGCTCTCTTAGCAATTTTCAAATATACATACAGCATTATTAACTATATTATAAAGCTGTACATTATATTCCTATGACTTACTTACTTTATAATTACAAGTTGGTACTTCTTGGTTTCCTTCATCTATTTTGCCCTCCCTCCTGTCCCCTGTCTCTGAAAACCACCAATTCATTCTCTGTACCCATGAGCTTGGGTTTTGCTTTGTTTTGTTTTTTAGATTCCAAGTATAACTGAGATTATATGGTATTTGTCTTTCTGTAATAATGCTCTAATCTTTAGTACACATTGTAAATGATCACTAATTGTTTAATTCTTCATGGGGTGCTGATGGACAAAAGTTTATTATCTCCCCCTTCTCTAGATTTTACCTATAAAATATTTTAGAATCCCGAATATAGAAAAGCCTTTGAAATGTAAATAAATGAATCCCCCAAGAAGGTATCTCTGGGATTAGGAAGACTATGGACAAGTGGGCTATAAAGTCATGCAACACAGGCTGCCGCTTAACACATTTACTCCAAGCTACTAGTTCATGTATTTTGTACTTTCCAGTTGCCCAAATTTTTTAAAGTCAATTTCCTGCTTATGTTGCTAATGGAACTTAAATCGTTTTTTTAATTTCTCATAAACATTTGGAACTCTTTAATATGTAACCATGTGAAATTTATTCTGTTTGACTAAAGCTGTTGAAGCCATTTAAATTTGTATTACTTTTCTAAGACTATTTTTAGGGTGTATCAACCAAAGGCTTGAACACTTTCTTCTTACCAAGGATAAGAACTCATGTGGTTCCTTTCTTTCAAAATGCTTGTATTTTGAGAGACTGACAAAGTATTGGCCCATCAAGAGGGACAAATGTTTTTTGTTTTTATTTCATAAGTGTATGAAAAAATTTTTGCCCAGGGTAGATTCAGTACAAAGTGAATAAAAAATAAATCTATGGGAAGGTTGGGGTTGATTAAACATACCTGGTATAATGTCCAAAACACAATATGACTCAGGTGAATGAATGAGTAAATGGGTAGATAAATGTGTAAATGAATAGGGCCAGCAAGGATGGTGCAGTAATAAGAATTTTTGTTAATGAGCACAATGCAGAGATTTGTGTTCCAGATATTTAATTACTAGAAGCAAGAAATTCTTTGTCTCTTTCTTGTTGTTTTTCTTTGTCATTTCATGCATTCCTCATTTAACCAACCCTTCTATGTATGCATATATGTATGGGTGGTATATATACCACACATACATGTGTGTGGTGTATACCTATGTACACATATACATATATACACATGTGTATGTATATATGTGCATATGCCATATATTTTTGTATACTTTGTGTATATATATATGCATATATATTCTCTGTGTGTGTGTATATATATATATATATATTCTGTATATATGGCCCAAAATATATATTCGCTATTTGTTGTTGTCAGCAATGTACAAGCTATATACGGTTTTTACTTCCTTATTCATAAAATTTGCTTCCTTGTTCATAAATATTTTCATTGATTTTTAACAGTTTTATACTGTGAATTCAGCTTGTTCAATGGTAATACGTATTAATGGACAATATATTTAGGGGTTTACTCTAAACACTTTTTAATTATGTGTGTTTCTTTGTTGTTTTTTGTTTCTTTTGGATAATTCTCTCAAATGTAAAAATGTCAAACTCCTATTAAAGTAGGCCTTTAAAAAAAATATATATATATATATATATATACACACACTATCTGAGTGTCATAAAGGGATAGTGAAGCACCCAAGAAAGCAATGCTCCTTTTTATTAGAATGAAGACTATCACTCTCTTCGCTGTGTAAAGCCTTCCCTTAAGCCCTAGGAAGAGTCCAGTGTTTCTGGAAGTGTTATGTGGATTCATGTGTGAGTGTGTGTTAAGTGTTTCAGGAAAGGGACTTCAGTAGAGATGTGGATTAGATGGGGAAACATACTTTCTCATCTTCCTTAATAAATGATGATAATAACAACAATAATCTATATTACAGTGTTTGTGAGTTAAATATTAGTTGAGTAAATTATGGATAAGAAAGATCTCATTTTTTTAATTTGAAGGAGGATACTCTGGTTTTTCTTCAGATCATATACTTTTTTGCCTTTGACTAAAATTTCATGGAGGAAAGAGAAGAACAAAAAATTAATGACTGGAATTATAAAATAATTTTAGAACTCTGTTAGATTACTCAATATTTTCACTTCTGTACTAGACTAATACATGCTGGGATTACAAATACAATTAGTTTTGTCATTTTGTATGATGGGTTTTTTTGCAATAGAAACGTTTTTTTATTGTAGCAGTACAGGTGATCACTTAATATGTGAAGAATGGTAAACATGTTGGTGCAATTGAGTCATCCTAAAAATGCAGTGTTATGTGAAGTAGAGCATAGAAAGCAGTTTTTTACTGGGAGTATTTTTGACTATTTCAAAGTCAAAATTTAGGGTTTGAAGTTACCATCAGATATACATACACTTACATATTCCTATACTCTATACAAGTAAAAACTTGTTTAATCTTGCCTCAAACATATTTTGAGGTAACCCCAAAATATGACTAGTAAATAATTATTTCAGGAACATGAAGGGACTTACCTAACATAATTGGCTCTGCCATAATGCAAGTTCCTAATTGTTGCCTTCTGTATAATGTGCACATGTCTTTTTTATTGCTTTCAGGAATCTAGATATTTCAAACCTAATCTCCAGAGACCATTGTACATGTGTGTGGATATTCGTGCTGGAGTTTTGTAAGAAAGGATTTTGTACTTTTCTCATCACACTCACCTATGCACCTTGAGAATGACTTTTTCTTGAGATGCCTATTTTTTTCTTTTCACTGTGTCACATGTTAATGACCAGTAGAAGTATTTGCTTTACAAGAGGACATTTTGGAAAGAAACAGAATGTGTGCTGTGCAGGGCTACATAATGGTATGAAACATTTATAGGCAATTGGAATCACCCATGAATTATTGAGGGCAGAGGATTTACATTTAGAACATTACTGTTTTATATAAGGATAGATGGGTATTTGGTGAAACATGTTCTTGTTTGCAGGATTATTGAATAATGGCTTGTGTTGCGAATGATTATTTTACACTCTGTGTGGTAAATATGGTAAAACAATGTTTTCTCCCTTGGATTTTTTTCCTTGATGTATTTTTCTCATATTAATCAAATGCAACTCTTTATTTGAAATGTTGATTTCAAGCAGAGAAAATGAAGAGATGCCTTATTGTCCTACTAAGTTCTTGCAGGAAAAATTCATTCCATATTGGTAATTGCTCATTTTAGTCATCAGAATAAGATCCTAAAAATCCCGGTGTATAGTATTATGAATCAGGAAGTAGCCATAGAGAACCATAAAGTATTATGAAGTCAGTTGCAATTAACCCAAGAACTAGTAAGTTAAAAAAAAGTCTAGGTAAATCGTTGTTAAGAGAAATCATCTCAAGATTTCAGTGTTTTAGGATCTGTTTCTTAAAAAAAATAATTGTTTATGATACTGAAATTTTATCCCCAGATGCTTTGCTGTCTAATGTTGACCAGACTGTCCAGGAAACACAGGTGAGATTCTTGTTTTCCTGTTGTGTACTTTAGCACTTTAGATGACATAGTCTTTTATAAGTGATTTTTTAATTTTTGTTTTGCTACCTTGTGTCGTTCATTGCAATTTTAATTAAAACTTAAAAGTCAACAGCAAAGAATAAAATTCATTAGGGTTAAGTGAATTTCAGATTCCTAAATTTTGACATATTCCTGGTTAAGTGCACATTTCTCATTCATTCCTTAAGAATAAAGGAACACTGATATGACTGGAGTCACTGTTGGAACCATGCAACATATGATGTACAGTTTAGAAGTATTTCCCAATGGGAAGAAAGTAGATTAATAAGATCTATTCACTCCTATCCTTGACCTCCACATCTTCATAGGAACTGAGACGACACATTATATTTTACCAAAAGTGGTGGAGCAGAGGTGTTTCACTGTTACCTAAAATGAATGAAGCTGCTATAAAATGTGGCAAAAGACTACCCATGAAATATTCATGGTGTTCCTTTTGTCAGCAAGAAATTACTCTTCTTGGCATTTTTTAAAGTTTCAAATGAGTATTTGATTCCTGCATTTTAATTTGATCAGAAAGTGTGTTCCAGAGCAAAATAGCACTTTAGCAATCTGTTCAAACAGCTGGAGTCATCAGCCATTTGCTTGAAGTTTGGCACAGAAAAAAATACCCTGCTTTTAAAAGTTCTGTAAAAGGCCATTGATTTATTTCTTGGTAATAAAAGTAAGATCTTGTGTGTTTTTTTTAACATTTTGTGTTTAAAAGAAGACAAGGACTTGGACAACCATTCACAGTTGGGATTAAACTGTGAATGTAACTGTAACTGCAAATGTGATTTAGTAAGTTCCATCCAAAATCAAACAAAATGTTCTTCATGCATTATTTCTTTCCTGCGTTTAGGACTCCACTTTCATGTTACAAAAAATAAAAACAACCTCAGGAAAACATTATGCTAAAGTGAAATAAGCCAGTGAGTGAAAGACAAATACCATATGATCTCACTTACAAGAGGAATCTAATAAACAAAATAAACTAACGAAAAAAAAAATAGAACCGTGGGCATGGAAGTAGGGCATGGAACACAGGCATGGGAACAGACTGAAAGTGTCCAGAGGGGGAGGAGAGGGGGGTAATTGTGCAAAGAAGGGGAAGGGACTAGGCAAAGAACATGTGTGGCCCATGGACGTGGACAACAGTGTGGGAACTGACTGTGGGAGCAGAGGGTGGAATGGGAAGAGGAATGCAAAGGGGGAAACATCAGGACAACTGTAATAGAATAACATTAAAAAGTGATTTAAAGAGAGAGAGGAAGAGGGCTCACAGGACATAATCAATAGCACAGGGGGCTAGCACATGCTTTATATTCCATTTTGTGTACTGAACCGACCTGCTTGAAGGTGCATCGGGTCACCTCCACTCCATTTTTCTCTCTCAGTCTTAACCTCTCTCTCTGTCTCCCTTCCCCCTCTTACCTTCCTTTCCTCCCTCTCTTTCTCTGATTTTAAAAAAGTTCTTTTATCCTATAACTTTTGGCATCTAGCTGTTCTGAAAGTTAGGGTACCTTTGGAAAGTGTAACAAAGCAAATGACTCATCTAACAGAAGCACAGTCCAGAATGATGCTAAATATTCTATCATGATTGGAAGCAAGCAAGTCAATTTGAATCACTTTCCATTTACTAATTAAACTAATTTTGCAAGGATTCATATTTCATGGGACGTGTTACACATTATAGGATATATTTATTTATTTTACCCATTGTTAGAAGTCAAGTTTATGGAAAAGTAACCTCCTTGGCAGTTTGTATAGTACCAGAGATGGCCCAGGGTTTGCCAATATGAGTATATAAGATTTTGACTAGTGACTTTATTTGTCCTAAAGTAAGTAGTATTAATTACAGAAGCCCCCAAAAGTATAATTAAATATAAAAACAAAATATAAATCCTAATCCAACACCTAGACACAAATACTAAGACTCTCTGGTGTATAATCTTTTAGTGATTTGTCATTTGTGCATGTAGTAAATTCACATGTACTTATGTGTGTTTTGTACCAAATTTACATAGTGAAATTGTATATGTGAATATGTCACCCTTTTAAAAACCTTTGTTGAGTCTCTCTTTAGTTCCTTTTATGAAACAATGATTATGTCATCGTACCATGAAAAATTTCCTTCCATATTCTGGCTAATTCTCCCTTTTTACTTTCTATAAGACTTTGCAAGAAAAAGAAATTCACAGGCAAAGAATCATTTTAACAACATTTAGTGGCAATACATCATTCACTTGTGTTGTAACTCCTTGCTACATTTCTGTTGTCAGATATAAATCACCGTAGGACCTCAGAATAACTACTGTCGCTACATAGTGAATGATTGCTGGTACCACTGGCCTATTGTTTCTACAACTGTCGGGTCAACCAGAGATTCCTCTGCAGCCACTGTGATCTCTGCTCTGAGTCTCCTCTTGCCTTTCGCGTGTCAGCAATACTTTGCTGTGTGTGAGTGACGTGGTGAGGATGACAGATGGCAGAGACCCCTGTGCTCACAGCTGCTCCACTTTTTTGGGGGAGGGGAATATAAAAGTTAATTTTAGTTTTTTAAAGATTTTATTTATTTATTTTGGACAGAGGGGAAGGAAGTGAGAAAGAGAGGGAGAGAAACATCGATGTGTGATTGCCTCTCACGAACCTGCCACTGGGGACCTGACCTGGTTGACAACCCAGGCATGTGCCCTGACTAGGACTCGAACTGGCAACCCTTTGGTTCACGGGCCAGCACTTAATGCACTGAACCACACCAGCGAGGGTTAAAAGTTAATTTTAAGTTTATATTTTCTTCAGCATGGTGACAGATATCTTTTTCTACCTAGAAACAAATACATTTTCCAAAAATTGGGCACTGCCCATTGCATTAAATTTAAATGAAAATGCTCTCTATGTATACAGAGCTAAGAAGTAAACAAAAAATGCAACATAATTTCTTTTTAAAATTTTTTATTTATTTTAGTTTTAGATGGAGGAGGAAAAGAGAAACAGAGGTAGAGAAACATCAGTGTGTGGTTACCTCTCGAGCACCCTCTGTTGGGATCCTGGCCCACAACCCAGGCATGTGCTCTGACCAGGAATCGAACCAGTAACCCTTTCATTCACAGGCCAGTACTTAATCCACTGAGCCACACCAGCCAGGGCAACATGTTCCTTTTTTAATATTAAAAAAGTGTTTCTAAAGCAACAATATTAAATTTATTTTACCACAGTCCTTAATAGAACATCAAGCTCCAATGGGGAGGTATAGAAAGGACAGAAAGGTTTCATTCACTTAGGGGTTTAGGTGTTCATTTTCACACACTGTTATCTGCTAAGATGATTTTTTCCCGAGGGTAAAAAGGTAATATACATTTATTTTATTTCCATTAGTCAGAATATGCCCTATGTAGTATTCTTCCCTAAGACCTTTTCTATATGAAATACACTGTTTAAATAGCTTTAATGTATCACATACAATATTTTTCTAAAATGAAATCATCAGATTGTAATCACACTAAGGTGAACAACGGGGAGAGCAATGGGGAGAGAACTCATTGACAAAATTTGTGATAATTACTCTACAAGTAAACCAGCATATACACAGAAATTAACTTTATCTTTGAAAGACTTTTATGCTTGCAATGAACCTGGTAAAACAATTGATAGTTCACATCTGACAAATTAAGAACAGTTGACTAGTTTGCATTCATACTGAAAATACCTTAAATAAAAGTTCTTAAAACATGTTTGTTATATTCAGACCAACAAGATAGCACCTTGTGTGTCTGGGCGTAAGTACGCACATGGGATATTGCTTATTCTGTGATTGCCTGCACCTGCCTTAAAGTAATTGATCCTTGATTTTAATAAATTCGATTATTGATTATTTTGTTTAGCACTAATCAAGGTATTTATTTTTTTATTTTTTTCAGAAAAACTAGTAAAGATGCAATAACTGTGAAAAAACTGCAGTTCTTTTAGGGAAACTAGTAGTACATAAATGAATAAAATAATGCTGATTATAAATAACATTTATTTAAGCAACATTTAAATAACTATGGGGAAACATAGGAAAATATATGAAATAAGGGCTAACGAGCAAAGCAAATATGTATATATGATCCACATATCTCTCCTATATTTTTTCCAAGGAAGAATAACCTACGTATAAAATTTGGTTCTGTGTTTTTTTATTCCCTTCAAGTGAATTTTAAAAAGGAGTAATAAAATAGAACTATATGTAGAAAACATTCTATAATAATTAAAGCACAATTTAACATATTTATTTGAACACTACAGAAAATCAGAAAAAAAATTTAACCAAAGTGTCAGTCCTGACCTTTGGAAATTATTTCCTTGTTTTTTTAGATGTTCTCTTTTGAGTATTGTATGTGTCTCATTTCATTTTATTATTTTAAATTGTTTATGCTATTACAGTTCCCACTTCTCTCCCCTTCCCTACTTATACCCAGCCCCGCCCTCTCCCTGCCCTATATTGTTTCTGTGTCCATGGGTCATATGTAAATGTTCTTCCAATAATTCCCTTACCATCTTTCATTCCGTCTCCAGCGCCCCCTCCAGCAGCTGACAGACCGCTTCAAATATCTAAGCTTCTATATCCATTTCACTTGTTAGTTTATTTTGTTCATTAGATTCTACATTGAAGTGAGATTATATGGCATATGTCTTTCCCTGACTGGCTTAATTCCCTTAGCATAATATTTTCTAGGACCATCCATCCTGTCACAAAATGTAAGAGTTCTTTCTTTTTATTACTGCATAGTATTCATTTGTGTAAATGTTCCACAGTTTTTTTATCCACTCATCTACTAGTGGGCACTTAGGCTGTTTCCAGATCTTGGCTATTATAACCAGCACTGGTGAGGGGTGCATATGTTTTTTTTATGTTGGTGTCCTTAGTATAAATTTTCAGAAGTGGAATCACTGGGTCAAAAGGGATTTCCTTTTGTAATTTGTTTGAGGATACTCCACATTTTCCACAGTGGCAACACCAGTCTGCATTCCCACCAATAGTACACTAGGGTTCCCTTTTCTCCACGTTCTCACCAACACTTGTTTGTTGACTTACTGATGATGGCCATTCTGACAGGTTTAATGTAGTATCTCATTGTGGTTTCAGTTTTCATTTCTCTGGTGACTAGTGATTTTGAGCATTTTTCATATGGGCCATCTATATGTCCTCTTCAGAAAAGTGTCTATTCAGGTCTTTTGCCCATTTCTTAATTGGGTTATTTGTCCCCCTGTTGTTGAGTTGTATTAGTTGTTGTTATATTTTGGAGATTAAAGCCTTATCAGGTATACCACTGACAAATATGTTTTCCCAGATAGTAACTTCCCTTTTCATTTTGGTGATGGTTTCTTTAGCTGTGCAGAAGCCTTTTATTTTTAAATAGTCCCACGTGTTTATTTTCTCCTTTGTTTCCAGTACCTTAGGAGATATATTTTAGCAAACATATTGCTATGTGAGATATCTGAGATTTTACTGCCTATGTTTTTTTCTCTAGGATTTTCGTGGTTCCGTGCCTTACATTTAAGTTTTCTATCCACTATGAATTTATTCTTTTTTAAAAAGATTTTATTTGTTTATTTATCTTTAGAGGGGAAGGAGAAAGGGAGAGAAACATCAATGTATGGTTGCCTTTCATGTGTCCCCTGCTGGGAACTGGCCTGCAGGGAACTGGCCTGCAACCCAGGCATGTGCCCTGACTACGAATCGAACAGCGATCCTCTGGTTTGCAGGCCTGTGCTCAATCCACTGAGCTACACTGGCCAGGGCGACTTTATTCTTTTATATCGTGTTAGTTGGTGGTCTAATTTCATTTTTCCCCATGTACCAGTTCAGTTTTCCCAGCACCATTTATTAAAGAGACTGACTGTCTTTGCTCCATTATATTCTCTCTTCACCTTTGTCAAATATCAATTGATCATAAAGGTGTGGGCTTATTCCTGGGTTCCCTGTTCTGTTCCATTGATCTATGTCTTCAAACTACCGTATATAAGATAAAAATCTTTCAGCTTTGGCTGGTGTGGCTCAGTTGTTTGAAGCATCTCCTGTAACAGAAGGGCCGTGTGTTCAATTCTCAACCTGGGCACATACGGAGACAATATATTTCTCTCTCACGTCAATGTTTCTCTCCTTCCCCCTCTCTCTAAAAACAAGGAAAAAAGTCCTCAGGTGAGGATTAAAAGAAAAAAAAAACATTTATAGCTCTTTTAAAAAAATATTCTCACTTGAGGATATTTTTATTAAATTTAGAAAGGAAGGGGGAGAGAAAAAGGAAAAATGAGACAGAGAAACATGGATCAGTTGCTTCCTGAGCACACGCCAACCAGGGATGGAACTCGCAACATTTTGGCGCACAGACAACCACCTCAACTACCCTGCTGGGGTTTTTGATAGTTCTTAATCACATTCTGAGTATGGGCAGCCACAGGATTTTCCCACAATCCACTTAACATCAGGACATTTTTCCTTCTCTTGATGTTGGGGTATCTCTAATTTGCTCCTTTCTTTGTAGGACTGTCAGGAAGACTGTCTGCAATGGTTTATATTATACCCTTTAATTGTTATGTGAAGACCATTACCAAAACATCCTGAACCTACCACAAATTAATCACTTTTAGTTCCTGTAAAATTTTGGCATGATCATTACAGTTCTTTGTGATGCTGTTATAATTGTGGGTTCTTTGTGTAGATCTTTATGGAATCACTGTAAGTGTATGTCTACTGATAAGTAAAGTAAAACATGTTATTTTAAATATCCTACATATACAAGTTGTTTTCTTGGGCTTCATATTATGTCATCATTTCAATGGTAGAAGCATCAGGGCAGACAAATTTACACCATAATATACAAAGTTTAATTTTCAAAATTAACAGATTTTATATAAACCATAGTTCCCAAGTTTGTTAATAATATTATGTAATATGAAATTATATGATACTAAAAGCTCTTTAAGATATGTCATCTTATAGAACCAATTTGATATTAAAATAAAATTTGTTATTCTAAAATAAATAAATTCAAAAATCAAACTAATTATTCTATCTGTTATATTTTACTTCTGTGTATATTTAGTCTTTTCAACATCACTATTTCCTGAAACTTGAGCTTTGATATAGTGCACTTATATATTTTTTCTATTAAAGGAAACACATTATTACATATAAACAAAAACTTGTTGATATTCAATTTCATCAGAATAAGCCATGCTATAAACCCAATAGAGAGGAATTTAGATATAGCTCGCTGTAATTTAGTGATTTTGCAATTTTTAAAGAATATTCCAGGTAAAATATGATAGTGATATCTGTATTTCTATTGTTTCCAGGGTATTTGTTTTTACAAATAGGATACACATCTGTTATCTATTAACAATCATCAAGCTTTGTGTAACTGTCTTGTTCAATAATTATAAAAAATTACTGTTTGTGCCAAAAATAATTTATCTTATTTAGATTATTGTTTTTGAAATATATTGTTTTGAAATATATTTTCCCATTACATATTTCAGTATTTTGCTTGCCTTTATCAAAAAGTATCTAAATTATTGTAACATACTTTAATGATATTATCATCAAGTTATCCAGATAGGTTCCACATCAGCATTTTGACATAGAATATTCAGTAAGTAAGAATCTCTATTTCAAGATTGACTTGTGCCATACATTTTATAACCCTCGATTGTACACATGTAGTTGGTCTTGAATGCAAAGAAGAATAACTGCTTATATTTCACATGTATGGAATTGTGCAGCTGTAAAACAGATTTTTCTATCTTCATCAAACATAGACTTTATAAGAATAAATGTTAAGCACCAAGAACATATTAAAAAGAAACATTTATAATTTATTATTCTTATCATCTAATTATAGAAGTATCTATTATACATGAAACAGTCATATATTTAGATATATTTATAATGCTTTTTATATTATTCCTTTCAAAATCATGTTAATTATGGAATGCCTTTGCTTGTGAGTTATTGTTAGTTGTCACTTTTATTTGTTTGGTTGGTGAGACACTAATTATTGAAGATGAATAATTATCTTCACTATTATTCAATGCATAATTAAATTTTATAGATAAATATTGTATAAAACTCCCAACAGAATGTATTTAAAAAGTAAAGATCACTAAGGTTTTACATATGAGAACAAATTCAGTCTGATAGGTTCATATTTTAAAAACCAGTGCAAATATTTGTCAAAACTTAGATGCCATGCATTAATGAATAAAATCATTATATATTTTTCTTTTTAAAAATATTTTATTTATTTATTTTTAGAGAGAGGGAAAGAGAAGGAGAAAGAGAGGGGGAGAAACATCAGTGTGTGGTTGGTTGCCTTTTGCACACCCCGCACGCCCCAGTAGGGGCCTGAGCTGCCCACAACCCAGGCCTGTCCCCGGACAGGCAATTAAACTCGAGACTCTTTGGTTCACAGGCCAGTGCCCAATCCACTGACCCACACTAGCCAGGGAAAATCATTATATTTTTCTATCTGGGGAATGTAAATGTGAAACACTAAAGCAGGGAAAAATTCCATGCCACAATCTGACTTTGATGTGCTTAGCTATTTAAGCTTAATGCATTTAAATTATTTTTAAAATAAAAATATTTTATATATCCACCACTTTGAAATTACTAAGCCAATTCTTCAGTACTAATGTATTGAAGGTTGTTTATGTGTTGAGGCTGCTTCTAGAGGTGTGTTTTGTATCTTATAGCAAGAAGCACCTATCTGAGTGTTTACCATTCAGTACCTTCCAGATTTCTAGCACAATGATCTTACAAGCTATGTGTTTCTTCCTTTCTTTCTTTTTTTCCTTTCATTTCAGAGGCTGGAGTTAATCTGAAGAGCACCACTTCTCTCTCTCCTGAAAAAAGTTGCCACTGATATTTTTAATGGATAAAATTCAAAAAATGTTTCAAATCGCAATGGCTAATTGTTGAACTCGTGTCCTAGAAGAAATTGTTCACAGGACCCGAAACAGATGTCTCTGATGTTGGTGGAACTGGCTCACGTTTCATCCCCTTTTAAAAAGCCAAATTGTTTTTTCTTCTGGCCCACAGTATTTTTTTTAAAGAACAAAAGAAAAAAGCCCACATTGGCATCGAGTTCTGTATCAACCCATGTTACATTGCCATCCATGATTTAAGACTGTAGAACCTTGAATAATCTATATCACTTTAACAAATAAATGTTTTACTATGACAGAATTTGTACATTGCCTGATTTGTGGAACTAACTTACTCGAAGTGTGAGTGGTGAAATTATTATTGCAAAAACTAATAATACCACTTTACATTTATGTAATGCAAACCCTTAAGGGATAACAAATCGCTGTATAATACTGGGACTACTTCTTCCATGGCTGAAGTCTACCCACCTCTATGGAAGATCAATGCAGTTGTCTAAACAACATTAGAGAAATTTTATGCCTCAGTGTAAGACAGAAAGAGATGAGGAATCCCTCTTCCTAGTGCGACTTTAGAAAGCATCAAGGTAGGCATATTGTAATAACTACAAATTTATTCATTGCTTTTCTAGAGAACCATGGCAATGATGTTTTGATAATTTTAGGACTTATGTTTCATTTTAAGCGCTCATTTCTTCAATTTTGCACAATTCGAGGCTAAATAGAGAATGTACGTCTGATTTAACACCAGCATAGATAGGAGTAAGGTATCTTTGATGGCTAATAAATGTCAATATGATCATATTTAAGCATCGTCCAAACATAGCACTGAAGAGCTGGTCCTGGTGTCAAACAGGCCTGAGTTCAAATTCTATAGCTAAGTGATTTGTCCATATCTGCCCTACACTTCCATGGTCTTACAGGAAAAAATATATTGCAAAATTTGTAAATGCCCTCAAGTTAATCACTGAACTAAGTATAAGCAGGATATTCAGTTAGAAATATTAGTAGTGTTGTTATTAACAATTGATGCCAGATTATATTAAAAACATTGGAGATTTTGTTACTTGAAAATTCTGGTAGTTATCAACTATTAAAAGTAATATGTAATTTAATTTTTTAATCAATTAAGACTAAAAAAGCCAGAAAGTGTGGCCTTTTAAGAAATTTCAATTAATCTGTTCGCCATTTCACATCCTTAGACTAGTACATATACTCAGCCATCCAAAGAGAGGTTACAGAATGCCAGCCATTCAGTGACACTTACATTCTGTGCTCAGGAGCCAACTACACTAGACAGCAATTCAAACACATGTGCACACACAACACACACACTCACACACTTACTCCCAGACACGCACAATGCATGACTGAAACAAACAACAGGTTCAAGTTGAAATATTGAGGTTAATTTGTGACCTTGGGCAACTGTCCTCTTCGTTATGTTTCTTGACAACTCTAATGCCCTAGAGCCATCCTGTTTACATATGTGTAACTGTGTTTGTGTATGAATAAATGTTTATGGTGACAAGGGGACAAAATGAACAATATTTTATATAAGTGAAATCATAAAATATTTGCCTTTTTGTATCTGGCTTATCCCACTTACCATAATAGTCCAAGGTTTATCCATATTGAAGCATGTATGAGAGCTTTATTATTTCTTTTTATAGCAGAATAATATTCCATTGCACACACATGGCACATTTTGTTTATCCATTCATCCTCTAGTAACACTTGAGTTATTTCCACCTCATAGGCACAGCAAGCTAATAATGCTAAAGTGAACATTGTTATACAGGTATATATATTTGTTTGTTTTCAATGCTTTGTCTATAGACCTAGCAATGGAATTCCTGGTTCATATGGCATTTTTTTTCTGTTGTTTGAGGAATTGTCAAACTGTTTTTGCTGTGGTTATATTTTACATTCACTTAGTGTGTAAGTGTGCAAGGGTTCCCATTAGACCACATGTGTAGTTTTTTAAATAGTCACCCTGGTAGGTATGAATTATCTCAGTGTGGTATTGATTTGCAGTTTCTTAATCACTACATATTGATCTTTTTTCATGTGCTTATTGGCCACTTGTTTGTCTCCTTTGCAGAAATGTTAACTCAAGTTCTTATCTGTTTTAAATTCAATCATCTTTTGTTATTGAGTTTGTTTTCTCTATATATTCTGGTTATTAAACTCTTCTCATATATGTCATTTGCAAGTATTTTCTCCCATTCTGTAGGTTACTTTTTCACTTTCTTGATATTATGCTTTCATGAACAAAATGTTTACTTTTTATAAAGTCCAATTGTGTAATTTTATCTTGAGTTTTGTCTTTTAGCTTTATATCCAAGAATGTACCACATAATCCAAGGTCATCGAGATTTACCTTTATCTTGTCATTTAAAAGCTTCATGGTTTGGGCTCTTATTTTAAGTGATTGATCCATTTTAAGTAGATTTTTTGTATACAATTCGAGGTAAAGTTCCAAATTTATTCTTTTAGATGTGAAAATACAGTTGTCCCAGTACCATCTGTTGAAAACTTCTTTCCCCACTGAATAGATTTGACATTTTGTAAAAAAAAATAGTTAATTGTGGGGGCAACTTCGCAAGCAAGTAAGTCCCCCTGTCCTCCACGGATGAAAGTAACACTACCAAGACATGATCTGCTTGGGGAGAAGAGGTGGCCAATCTCTTGGAGATTGGAGAAAAGTCAAGCTCCCCTTCCCCTATGGCTCTTATTGGGTTGTAATACAGGGGAATGCAGGCGGTAAGGATCAAACAGGAGATAACATTTCAAAGAAATCTGAGGGCTTAATCTGGGTCAGTGTCTGTCAGGTAAGGGGTTGCAGAAACTTTGGGAGACATACTCATTTCCTGCTTGGACCCTTATCCTATGAATGAAAGCACTCTTAGCAAAGCAGGCATCACAGTAATTTGTGAACTCTGTTTTAACCAATCACCCCGGATCCCACTCTAGCTGGCAAGGGGCTGCACCAGCTCCCCCATCATAGGTTTTCAGGCTTAAGTGGATTAGAGCCAGGAAGTGCTTCTCCCAGATGGAAATGGGGACTCTCATCCTTGTCAGAATAGCCAGGGGGCGAGGGTCCATCACTCCCTCTTTGTTTCAGCCCCCTGAGTCTCTCCATGATGGCTCCCCAAGTGATCGTGTCTGGCTTAGGGTGCCCCACCCCGCTCTGAGGGGTTGTACCTGTCACAGACTAACCGACCAAGCAGTGGGGGCAGGGGAGGAAGCAGAGACAAGCTTTGTCTCTTTCGTGGCTCACACTCCAGAGGTCACTCACTCAGCCTTAGCCATGGGGGGCAGTTACAACTCCTGAAACCAGGCAGAACGGTTCCCAACAGTTGACTACAGTTGTATGGGTTTATTTCTAGACCCTATATTATATCCTATTGTTCTCCATGTCTGTCTTTATTCAAGTATTACAATATTTTGGTTACTGTAGCTTTGTAAGTTTTGAAACCAGGAAGTGTGAGTCCTCCAACTTTACTCCTGATGGTTTGGCTAGTACTAATCCCTTCTAATTGCATGTGAATTTGAGGAATGGTTTTTCCACTTCTGCACAACAGTAGTTGGCATTTTGACAAGGATGCAATTGAACCTGTAGCACTGACATTATAACAATATTAAGTTTTTCAATCCATGAACATAGCATGTCTTTCCATTTATTGTGACTTCAAAATTTTTTCAACAATGCTTCTAGTTTTCACTGTATTAGTCTTTCACCTCCTTGGATAAATTTATTCTTAGTATCTTATTGTTTTAGGTTCTATTATAATAGCAACTGCTTTCTTAATTTCCTTTGTGGGTGATTTATTTTAGCCATATTTCAAAAAACAACTATTTGTTTGTGTTAACCTTATATCCTGAAATTTGGCTTAATTTATTAGTTCTAATAGCTTTCTCATGAGCTATTAGGGAGTTCTACATGTAGAATCATGACATTTGTTAACAATGATAGTTTACTTCTTTTTACATTTGGTTGTCTTTTATTTCCTCTCCTTTTCTAATTACTCTGGCTAGAAATTCCAGTACAATCTTAAATGGCAGTGGTGAAAGTGGATTTCTTTTGTTTTCTTTGTTGGTCTTAGAGAAGGGCTTTTAATTTTTCAATATGGAGACTATAGATTTTTAAAAACTGTCCTTTATTTTGAGTTTCCTTCTGTTCTTAATTTTCTGGTGTTTTTTTCATGAAAAGGTGTTGAATTCTTTTCAAAGGCATTTTATGTCAATTATGAAGATAATGTGTGATTTGTCAATTGTTTTGTTTTAAAACTTATTTTTATTAGTATAGTATATTACATTATTGGAATTTCTTTATTTCTGTGATAAATCCCACATGGTCCTGGTGTATAATCCTTCTAACGTGATATTAGAAGAATACAAAATAGATACTGGTGTATAGTTTTATTTCCTTTGATTGTTTTATCTAGCTCTGGTTTTAGGTAGTGATGGTTTCTTAGGATTAGTTAGGAAGTGTTTCCTCTTCACATTTTTTTCTAAAGAGTTTTAAAAGAATTGAGTGAATTTATACTTCAGTGTTTGGTAGAATTTTCCAGTGAATCCATCTGGGAAGTTTGGAATGTTTTGGCTTATTAATTCAATTGTTTGGAAAGTTTTGGCTTATTAATTCAATTTCTTCATTATATGTCTGTTGAGATTTTCTATTTTCTGTTGACTTTGTTTAGCTATTGTGAGTGATTCTAAAGATTTGTCAGTTTCATCTAAGCTATCTGGTCTGTTGGTGTACAATTGTTTCTAGCATTCTCCTATAATTTTTTGTTTATCTAAAGTCAATTCTATACATTATTAAAAGTAGTTTAAGTCTCCAACTATTATTGAAGAATGGTCTATTTCTGTCTTCAGATGCGTCAGTATTTGCTTCTTTTATTATGGGACATTGTTTGCTGGTATATGTAAGTTACAATTGTTGTACTCTTGACAATGCAATTGGCTTTAGAATGTTCTTTTTTGGTATGATAAAGCTGATTATTATAACTGTTAACTGAATGAATTTATTTTGAGTTCATTAGGTTCATTTGGTAGGTTTAAACTTGTCACATATGTTTCATTTGCTTCTTCCAACCCAAACTATCACTGGCTTCTCTTCTTAAATAATTTACTAACCCTAATCTTTCTT